ATGTGCCCCACTCAAAGGGTCTCAGGGGATTATGATTCAAAGGCTGGAATTCAAACATATTCAGACTGCAGCCCCTCAGCCAACCCCTGTGACTGTTATCACTCTATGCAGAAAGAGACAGACGTGAAGAGTAAGACTGTGCCAAGGGAGTTCACTGAAATTACAGCATCGCAGAGAGGCTGAAGATGGCTCAGGACAGACCAGCATCTGACAATCTGCCTGACTCCCTAACACTGTAAATGAGTGACGACAGTGACTCCTGTAGATGACCACCACTCAAGACCAGGCTGCAGAGTCCTCGCTTCAAGAACAGCGGGGTGAGTGAAGCGTGACCTACCCGCCAGCGGGTGAATTCACTGAGTGAGCTGGGTCCATATACCACATTCGTTTGTACCGACTTCAGGAATTTTTTCTTGATAGACTTCACTTGCTCAACTGTGTATTTCTCAGGAAGCTGGTCGCGGAAGAATTTTTCCCAGTGAGCAGTAACCTAGAAGAATGAGTGGGTTTATTCACAGATTATGGCCAAAGTAGCAGGAGAACAGTATAGGAGTATTTATAAAAGCATGTGAGAAGTTGCCAATGCCAAAACTTCAATATCTACATAGTGGCATTGCTTCTATTTCTTTGGTAATTCAAATCTGTTTAAAGGCATCTGGGGCACAAGCACCATCACAAACAACACAAGGGAACACACTGTGTCTCCTAACTGCTAATTCCAGCAGTCACCCATGCCCTGTTGCCTAGGGTCACACCATACCCTCCTCAAGACCTCTGCAGTACTGAGCAGAGAAATTAGTAACAAGGCCTTTATTGTGGCCCAAACTGTGCTCAGATTGTATCAGCATTATCTTAACTATGACTATGTGTCATCCTGTCATTGAACTGAACACAGCCATGTATGTAGTTATTTGGCAGGCACTGACACATGGAAAAAAAAAAGCATTAATCTTACCTTGTTGGTGAGCTTACGACTATTGACATGCCTCACATGATTAGCCAGTTTGGTTATATCCTTGCCATTGAGGAGCCGGAGATTTTGCAAAAGAAACATCACTTTATAGTCATCATTGGTCTGGAAAGAGATGAACTTTTGAAAACTGCACACATGGTACATGCTTTAACTACAGATATGTGTTCCTTATTGAAACATAACCAAGAAGGATCAGAATGTATGTATTCAGCAAAGGGCACTTCACAAAATCCTCTCAGCATTTCCAGTTGAAACAATCATCTGTTACCTGTAAATTTAAAACTCTCCTCGAAGTTGGGGTATTTGGGCAGATTTAAACCCTACCTCAACTCACGCAGTACTAACATCCAGCACAAGGTGGCAGCGGTGGAACTAGGCTGATCTGCTCCTGCCTGGGTGCAACGTGGGCAATCCCATTCACATCTTCTTACTTTGGGCATCTAACACAGAGGAAGGCCTGCTCAGTGTAAAATAGGTGAATACCAGCAGGGTTTGCCAGCCCGAGAAGATTTGGGGGCACGAATATTCACCATGCTAGTTGAACATGAAGTCACACAGATGTTTGTGCCAGCACACAACAATGAACAGCACATGAGGACAACAGCAGTGGCTTGTGCCACCTAAAGCATACAGAAAATTAGTTTCAGACACTTACATTGCATACAGTCAGTAGACAAGCTGGAAAATCTAAATTAGAAAAATCTCCAATTCTAAACTAAATTAAAATAATCTCTAAATTCAACCTTTCAGCAGAAGACCAAGCAGGCTTTTCTAGAATAGACTTCTGGAACAGGCAGAAGCACTAGGTGGACATTTCTACACAGTTGTTATTATGTATTATATCCCTAAATTTTATACGAGTATGAAGGTAAGGTATTTTGCTTGAGAAGCTGCCCCAGATGGGGCCCTGGCCTGGAGAATCTGTAGATTCAGACACATAGATTTTAATCGCTGAGCACTTTTCCACAAGTCACCAATTTTCACCATAATTTCCAAATCTGTAAAAGGGGAATAGAAACACTACTTTTTGAGATGTCCTAATACTTGCTGATTAAGTGCTATAAGTGCTATTTATTTCTCACTCTATTTAATACTTAGCATGTAAGGATGGGTTGTAACTCACGGTCAGATACATGTTGTTCTCATAGGTGAGCTCCTCGAGCAGGGGGAACTGCTTCAGAGCAGTTACATCTTCCAGTTGGTTGTTGTTGCAGTTTAGGACACGCAGATCAGGCAGGGTTAGACTGTTGGGAAATTTATCCAATAAATTATCGGAGAGATCAAGTTTCTGCAGATGCCTCAGACGGGAAAACAACCGTGGGTCTAAGTCTCCGGTCTTCAACTGCAGCTTGGATAGGCTGAAAAAATATATAGATCATTAGTTACCCGCAGTTTTCTGGAAAAACAAGTTGGATACGAGGTCCCACCACCTTGCAGCACTTCTAGTTCAGCTTAACTCATTGGTTCATTTTTTGATTTGCATTATTCACTGCTTCAAGCACACATAATTGGAGAGGTTGCTGTGTCTGGGATAATAAACCCAGAGCTTAAAGTCTTGTAGATTATTTGATGTACAAGTAATCTGAAATTGAGATACATTTCCGTTATATACATTTTGTGACCCTGTGTGTGCAGGGGGTTTGGACTAGATGATCTCTAGAAGTCCCTTCCAACCTTAAGGATTCTATATAAATATACCTAAAATTCACAATGCTGCCACCAACAAAGCAGAAGCATTCTGTCCTGGAGGAGGAGGATGTAAAATATTTGTGAGGTGAAAAAAAATATAATCTCTCATGAGAAATTGAAAATTACGTATTATAAGAATGAGGTTCATTTAGATGTGTCTCGAATCTAGAACGGGCCCTTCGGGTTCCAGCTGGGCGCCAGAGGGAACATCCACTCTCGAGAGCTAACATCTCTTGAGGATGTAAATGTGAATTTCTTTAATAAACAAAATCTCTATCCACTATGATTAGCAAAAGAAGGTTCAAAGACCTGCAACTGAAAAGTGAAAAAGGAAATAAATTTAAGAAGCAGGATCACTTCTCATTCACCTGCCATTTCAGAGACCAGCTACTTGATTGAAGTACATAAGAAAGGCTAATTGCAATTCAGCTGGCTGCAAGGCTGACCTTGATTCCTCTGCCAGTTTGGTTTCAAGTGTGAACCATTTGGAATTGGGATAGGGACAAATTTTGAGAGAAATTTAACCCAATATTCCCCAAATGGACCTTTTAGAAATATTAATAATCAAAATCAAGGGGAAAACTATATTTTAGAATTTTACTAGTTCAAACATCTCAACATCCCTTTGTCTCCCAGATTACTGCAACATCACTCCTCAGATAAACTTGGAGTTTCTAAGAACAGTATCTTATCATAAGATAAAAAGAAAAACTTCAAAGTATGAAAAAACACAATTTGCAAAGGCATCAGCCAGAATTCAGCTCACACAGACACTCAGATTGGCAAGTTCTAGAATAAGAAAATTCCACTGTATTAAACATCTGTAAAGATACATTTTTTTTCAACAATTACAAGTAAGGATCTGAGCAACAAGATGTTTTTTAGAGATTTCTCTATGTGTCATAGCTTATTCTCCCTCTCTGCAATGCTTGTATAGTCATATTCTAGATCTTGGATTTACAGTGGATGGAAAGTGATAGAGACAGGAAGGAAAATAATGCCAAAACATTTTTAAAACTCTCTAAAACCCACACCAGAAGTGATTTTCCTATTCACAATAAGCAACTGCTATCAAAATAAAAAATGGAGGGGGGCAGAAAGTAAAGTTTCTCAGGGTGAGGAAATCAGAATCTGGATTTAAAACAGTTTTACAGGAAGAAGGTGGCACATACAGAATATATATGGTGAAGAGAGGTGGTATCTGCTGCTAATTCAGCTAATGCCCACTGGTACTGCATGGAGAATGGCATCCCCTAGTCCATGTTTTGTAACAGCCTCTCTTATTTCAGCAAAAGTACTCAGAAAACAAAGACAAAAAGGATTGCCCGTGTTGAATTCAGCTGGAATTTTCCACGGGCCTGTTTGCACTTACTTCAGCGTCTCAATCTTTCGCAGCCTAGTAGACCTTGGAACAGCCCTTTCCAAAAGCAGCTCTGTAGTAATTTTTGACATTTTTAATCTCCACCCTTCTTGTGAATTCACAAACGTGCCAGCTGCAGGATCTCTTCTTGCAACCCTCCTGCTGAAACAAACAGGAATGAGAGGAAAACCTTTGAAACTGACTCCAAAGGGGAAAAGAAGTTACCAGTTTAGCTACTGCTTTTGCTACTGTAGTTGAAGCAGCCCTGTTTCACACGGTGGAAATGAAGCTATCAAGGGTCATTACTAAACTGGGCACGTGCTTCCAATGAGCCACCCCAAAACGTCTCCACACCGATGGTACCTCTGGTGCCTACTGAGACCCAAGGCTCCCTGCCAGCAGCACTGTCTGCAGGCTGGAGGCACTCCGGATGAGGGAGTCTTTTAGGTGCCACCTTGTACCTCTCCTGGGCAAAGGGGTTCTGGTCCAAGAAGTTCTGCTGTCACCTTTACTGAGGCTGACAGAGCCAACGTAGCTTCACAACCTCCTGGATCACATCCTTGCAACCAAGAGTGGAAAATGAGGGCAATGAAGGAGAGCAGAGCTCCAAGGCCGGGCTTAGTCCAGCCCTTGGTCCTGCGCTGGGCGCTGCGATGAAACCACAGCCTCGGGAGCACCGGGACGTGCTTCTGGGCACAGGTGGCAGGCTGGAGGGGAACAGAGGGTGGCGGATCCAGAAAACACCTCCAGCCCCAAATCCGGCCGCTTGATGGGCCAAGGAAGGAGCCGCCGGGGCCGTCACTGGCAGCATCACTAGAAGCCAACCGCGGGCTGCCTGACCCCCATCATGCCCGCACGCAGAGGGGCTGCAAGGCCACGCTCACAGCCCTGCTTAACGGTGCCACCATCGCCCTCCTCCCCGGAGGGAGCCGGGGCGGCCGGACCAGGCCGGGGACACCACGGGGGTTATGTGGGGACATGGCGGCACGATGTGGCCACGCCACGACGGGCTCGCTGCACCCGAATTGGCTTGAATTAGCGCGGATTTGGGGCAAGCACAGCGGCCCTGGCACGTGCCGGTTCCGGGGCCGCCTGGAGCCCGCCCGCACCCTGATGCCTCCGCGGCCTCCCGGGCTGGCCGGTTCCGGCGGCGAGGGCCGCATCGCCCCTCAGCGGCAGCCGGGCGGCTCCTGCCGGGCCCGGCCGCCCCGCGCTGAGGCGGGAGCCGGCGGGCGCCCCGCGGGGATGGATGCTGGGGATCACCGGAGGGGGGTGCGCAGTACTACAACTCCCAGGAGCCCCCGCGGCGCCGCCAGGCCCTGCAGCGCTG